TTCCTCATTAAAATAATTGACAATAAAGCTGAGGCCGCTAGCCACACACTAAGCCATAATATTCCCTATCAAATCTTATGAACTTTCACCTCAATTCAAAGAAGAATTAAGGAGCCAATCATTCGAAAAAATCAATCAATGTTTGTTAATTGGACGTATTTCTATCAAACGGAACTAAGCGCCAATTTGAGTTCTTTTTGAGGAATTTAGAATCCCGGATAGCGCGTTCTGTCAAATGGACCTAAGCGCCATGGAAAAGCATTGCGAGTATAGGACGGAATAAACCGGACGCCCGATTCCGCCGCCAATCCAAGCCTCCCTCTACCTACGAGGGCTGTCCCAAAAGAAACCGGACTTTTGTCATAGAAGGCGAACCGAGCGTCGTAATGACGTTTTCTTGGGCTTGTTTGAAAGCTGATAAGCTACTGGAGATGCTGGTGTTTACAGAATGCAAAAATTCGTCTTAGTAAGGAAACTACACGCTTTGGAAGAAAGGAAAGTCAAACTCGAGTTGCGATTTTTATCTTTATTTCAAGAAAAATTTAGATACAACTTAAAAAAAAACCCAGGGTTTAAGTTATGAACTTCGTTGCTCTCTTATTCAAATCCTTAAAAATAAGTAAATTAACATTTTAAGCAGCTTACCAAGTCATCACCTATCCCCTTCAAAATACTCGCCAGCTTTGTCTATGCATTTTTGCCACCGTTTCTTCAATTGGGAGAAACACTGTTGGAAATCCTCAGGTTTGAATGATCGCAATTCCTTAAAGGTGAAACTGTCAATCCCGAATATTACAATGGTGTTCTGAGACGATTACGCGAGTCCGCAGAAAAAGGCCTGAGCTTTGGAGAGAGAATCCCTGATTTCTGCATCACGATAATGCACCTGCCCATGCATCCCTCCAAATTGGCGAATTTTGTGCAAAGAATGCCATGAGTATCCTCCCTCATCCCCCTTATTCACCTAACCTGGCTCCGTGTGATTTCTTCTTATTTCTATGCCTTAAATCTACCTTGAAAGGTCGACGTTTTCAAACCATTCCGGAAATTCAAGAGAACACCTTGAAGGAATTGCGATCATTCAAACCTGAGGATTTCCAACAGTGTTTCTCCCAATGGGCCTGTTGCAAACTTTTGCTAGAGCAGAATGAAGAGTTGTTTCCTATAGATAATGCCTCAAAAATCACGATGAGCGCATCGGCAAAGTCTGAAATGCACTCATAACTTCACAATCTGCGTAAGAAATTTGCCTTATTTTGAGCTTCCCGCTTCAAAAACGATACTACTGCACAGGTGAACATTTTGTTAGAGGAGTCGCTCCATCGTCGCCAATATTCATCATGGCCGACGCTTGCGCAGTTCCTCGCGTAATTCGAGGAGAGTTTAAGGTCAATTAAGGCGGGCGAGGAAAATATGAACGTAAACACGCCGATTGTTATATGGTTTAATCCTGTTCAAGTGTTATCTCGTCCCATCACACGTGTTTTGGCGGACTGGCGTCGGCCATGATGAGTATTGTCGCCAATGGAACGACTCCTCTAACAAAATGTTCACCTGTACCGTAGTATCGTTTTCGAAGCGGGAAGCTCAAAAAACCGCAAATTTCTTACGCAGATTGTGAAGTTATGAGTGCATTTCAGACTTTGCCGATGCGCTCATCGTGATTTTTGAGGCATTATCTGTAGGAAACAACTCTTAGTTTTGCTCTAGCAAAAGTTTGCAACAGGCCCATTGAAGAGACGGTGGCAAAAATGCATCGACAAAGCTGGCGAGTATTTTAAATGGGAAAAGTGATGACTTGGTAAGCTGCTTAAAATGTTAAATTCCTTATTTTTAAGCATTTGTATGAGAGCAACGAAGTTTTTAACTTAAAACCTGGTTTTTTTTTAAGTTGTATCTAAATTTTTCTTGAAATAAAGATAAAAATCGTAACTCGAGTTTGACTTTCCTTTCTTCCAAAGCGTGTAGTTTCCTTACAAAGACGAATTTTTGCATTCTGTAAAAACCAGCATCTCCAGTAGCTTATCAGCTTTCAAACAAGCCCAAGAAAACGTCATTACGACGCTCGGTTCGCCTTCTATGACAGAAGTCCGGTTTCTTTTGGGACAGCCCTGTATATGGCGCTTAGGTCCGTTTGATAGAAATACGTCCAATTATAATTAATTAATATTGTTTGTAATGTGTTAATTTGCATTACTCACCACCCAACTCGGGATACCATGCGGTGGCATCTTGTCAATGAAATCATGAATGATTTCATCCAAAAATGTGACGTCAGACGTAGAATTTATGGTGACCAGTCCAAAGTAAAGAGGAAAGTGGGACATTTTATAAGTCGCATTCCCGAAGTATTGTTGAAGTTCCTCAGGCGACTCGTACGCCTCTATCGTCATCAACCTTAGGATAAAAAAATTAAAATATGTATTTAAAATTTATCTAAACGGAATTGCAAAAGATATCGGATGAGCCGTGAAAAAAGATAATCTTGTGAATTCATTTTTCGTTTCAAAACTACCTCTAATAATAATTGGAATTTAGGAGCGAAATATTCACAGCATATGCATTAAGACTAGTTTTACTTAAAATCATTAGTATCTCAACTTTTTCAAAAACTGCACTTATGCACATTGTCCTGCATGCCCATCTTATTACCTACCTTTCAGCAGTTTTAAAAATACGCTCATCAGGAGTGGCGCAATCATTTCCCAAGCAAAACTATGACTCAAAGGCTAAAACTTGGGGCTCTCGGTACATTCATGGACGTCTTTTGGGCTTGAAAGGCTCTCAGTCTTGACCCCCCTCCTCCCGGAAAGGCCTCCCCTGTTCCTGTTCGTTAATTTGTTTTTCCTACTTTCGCGTGTCTACAGTGAAAAAACAAAAAAACCGGTCGTATGTATCAAAGTTCGGGTGTTCCGTATCATCTCAACTAATTCAGTTCGTCAAACCGAACTTGTGCGGTAAAGCGAACTAACAAACTAAGTTTGGTCATATATACCGAACGTAGGGTTACACGGACCAACAGTTCCGTTTGACAAAACTAAAGCTCCGTTTTTTTTTTTGTTTTTTTTTTCTGGGTAGGTAACCGTGAGGTAAAAAGTGGCGAATTTGCGGGCAAATATATGACAATTTAAGCCCCAAATGCACATCAGCCCATTTCGACCACACCCACGCAGGGGTTTGGTTTCGGTCTGGGCTGACCTGCTAGGGGCTTAAACTATCATATGCCGGATCGGCTCGGAAGTTTAAATAAAGCTAAAGTTGAATGACTGAATTTTCTTTTAAGCCTGGTTACACGCTCAAATTCCCGTCAAATTCCGATCAAAATGATGACCAAGATGGCGGTCGAGAGTTATCTAGATTGATGATAAAATTAATTAAAACAGCGTGTTGATTGAAATAAGCATGAAATGAGCACGGTTGTGTGGAAATCAGATGAAGGACGAGCCCCACAGCTCCATCATCTACCATCAAATTTTTTCAGGCTGCAGAAATTTGATGGTAGGTGGTGCGCACCAGTCACCATTTGATCGGAAATTGATGGAAATTTGAGCGTGTAACTGTAACCAGCACATTACAGTGAAAATACGCTTTTTTTATTCCCTCGATGCGTTCCGAGGCATGCCTTTTTCTTACCTTTGCTTGTTATCTCTCGCACTATACTCGTCCATGAGCAAGCGCCATTGATGGATAAGCTGATGATTATCTGGATGTTTGAAGTTGTGGATGCGATTCTGATCGTTGAAATCCGTCGAATTCTCCTTACTCGGAGAGACCCACGGGTTGTCTCGGAGCTGTTCGTCCTCATAAAAAAACGGGACGGCATCCACTCGGAATCCGTCGACTCCAAAATCTAACCAGAACCGGATAACGTCCTGCGTTAACAAAGAAAATCATCATAATACACTGAAAACAAATCTCTGTGTATTTACTAAGAAAAGGGTAAAAGTACCAAGAATTCAGGGTTCTATTTGATCTCAGTTTTTTCTTGGTAATATTGCCATTTATGAAATTGGTAATTTTACCGAGAAATCTCGGTAAAATTATTGAACTTTCTCGGTAATTTTACTGGACCTTGGTAAAAACGCCAATATTTTTTATCGACTGTGGTAGAATCACCGAGATAAAATGGCAAAGTTACTGGGGATTGATTACCAATAAAAGAGGTATTCTTACCTGAAAAAACCGTAAAAATACCGGTTTTTAGGTAAGCTTACCGGTCTGTCTTGGTAAAATTACCTATAAGTGGTAAAAATAATGAGATGGTAAAGGTACCAACGGACTTTGGTAAAAACGCCGAGAATTTTTTTTCAGTGTACGACGAGGAACTCAACAGGATTCCACGCTGTAATCATCACATCGATGCCCAAGCAGAAAAGTCGAAGAAGTGTTGATCGGATCGCAACTTTGTAAGTCACCGCTCAAGTTGTATTTCTGTAGAGAAAACGTACGCAGCTGATGGTTTGTATTGACATTTTTTGTGAGTATTCTTCACCCATTCTGAAGAAAGCACATAAAATTGCGAGAAAACATTTTGATGATCAGGTACTTTTATTTTCATTGAAAGAGGTAAAACACAATCGGAGATTTTTAATGTTACAATGGTAAGGTATACGCATTTTTTTATGTGGCTATCGATATGTAGGTATCATTAGTGATTAATAGTTTAACTAAGTGCAAAATTGTCGTAACTAACATTTTCTGAAAATCGAGTTCTTTCGCGAGGAAAAAAATAATTATTGCTCTTACAATGATCACAGTGGGTCCATGGTCCAAGATCCTATCTTTTGTCTTCTCTTTTTCGATTACTTTTGTGAGAGCAATTATTCTACTCCCACGGTACCTGACAATGCAGCATTGTTAACTGAATCGAACTATTTGTCACCCCAAAATTAACATTCTAACTAACTTTAACTAAAAAATTAGATAAAGCCTTGAATCTACTGTGAGCTTTGCACAATAGCTAAGATTCGTTTTTATTTGTGACATTCTCAGTATACCCACGAGGGATTCCATATACGTAAGAAAAAATTCGATAAAGATATTTAACGCTAGACGTGAAGTAACAATAAAATCATTACCTATTGAATTTAATGTGCATAAAAGCAATTTCACAATATATTTTAAATATTCTTTAAAAATTATCGGAATATTTTTGAAGTATTCTAGAAATATTCTCGGTATCGCGTGAGGATATCAAGGAAGGAGTTTGAAGGAGACCCTTTAGTATTTTACATAGACCCACTTTACTCATTTTGCCTACCTTCAGGGCGTCTAGAACGTTTGGGTCTCGCAAGTTCAATTCTGGTTGCCCCGGCGAGAATCCTCCGTAGTAGAATTGTTGTCGTTTTTCGTTCCACCGCCAGGCCGTACCTCCGAATACACTCAACTGGAAAACGTGAAATGAAAATTAGATTTTATCGCGAAATACAAACAAAATTTAAAGGGAATTTTAAGATAAAATTCGAGGAATTGTCGCCGTCCAAAAAGCTGAGCGGAAACGCGACACTTTTCACCTCGGAGCACTGGTCGAACACTGGGATCGTTTATGGATGATAATTGGACGTATTTCTATCAAACGGAACTATGTGCATTATGACGTGAGCCCTGTTATGCACATATTCTTATGGGTCTCAGGGCTCATGTCTCAATGCACATACTTCCGTTTGACAGAAATACGTCCAATTGAACTTCAAAACCATGTAAAGTGGAGTCTCGATTATCCGCGAAGATTAGGACTGGGGCTACCGCGGATAATCAAAAGTCGCGGATAATTCGTGTTTCAACTATTTGGCCAGGAAAACGTGATCGAAAATGTTGTATTTTTAAATACACTATTAAACACTTGTCAAATATATATGGACCTCATTTTTTGCAATAAGAAACCACTATTTCTGGCTCATTTTAGAAACAACATATATGCGATTGATTTCCCTATGCAGAAAGGTGCTTTTTCAGAAGAGCCAGAGATAGTGGTTCCTTAATGCAAAATGTAATCCTTATATTAGACAAAAAATTTTATTAATTAAGAATTTAGTAGGAAGCTTACAAATGGAAAGAAAGTTTTTCCTAAAGTAAATAGGTCGACCCCCAAAATTTTACCACTCACCGTATGAAAAAAAAAAAAAAAAAAAAAAAAAAAAAAAAAAAAAAAA